CCGGTGAGTGTTCCCATCGTCTAGCATAGACAACTGTAAGACTTGCCCTCATCTGATCCAATGCTTACAGTTTTGGACTCCCAGGGTATCTGAGCCAATGTATATTGGTCCATATTGGTCCCGACTTCAGTCGCTCCTGGCAGACCGGTCGTCATTGTCCCAGACCGGTCGCCCCGTCGCGTGTTGGTCACGGAAAGTGGAGGAAAAACGCCCTTCTTGTTCGCGTCAAACCCGTCTGATCAGGCGGGAGAGTCACAAAAACGGTCCTCTCTTCATGTGGACCTGAATGAACAGGGATTGTAAAACCTCTTCAGGCCTGGAGAAGAATTGAAAATCGTTGAAATATCCTTTGAATTCCTATTGAATCCTGTTGATTTCCTCTTGACTTTTTTCAGAATCAATTATTAATCAGGAGTCTCTCATGGATGTGACTGGGGGGGGCGGACCACTAATCAAGAGTCAAAGTGAAGTGAAATCTGGCACCTTTGGAGTTCAAGTTCTGGATTCGCAGCTCGAAGTGACTCAGGTCCTCGAAGTGAGCGGATGTTGCGAACGCTTCTCGATGGAGGGCGGAGCGTGGGTTCCACGAACCCTTCGCTGCGGAGCTCGTTACTTCGCTTCAACGACCCGTCGGACGGGCGGACTTGTTCAGGTCACGGAAACGCGTCATCGGCCGCATGGGCAATCCACGTGGACGAACCGCGTGGCCGGTGTCCTTTTCACCATGCGTTTCGGTCACCCGAACGGAAGGGGTGGGACGTGCACATTGGATTCATGTTTTTTCCCAAACAAATGCGGACACGTACCACTACCACCCATGAAACAATCCCATTCCAAAATAGTTCACAAACATGCGCAGTGTGAGTTTGTGTTTGTGATGTAATTTGGTTTGGGCAAGGCATGGTTACGTTTGGGCCATTTGGCCTGTTCCCCGGTGGAAGCTCACTTCCCCTGTTCCTGTGTGTTGGGTTTTTCGCAGCGGAGGAGAAATTGTTTGCAAGAAGAGTCGGAGAAGGAGGGTGTGTCGCAAAGAAAAGAGGCGCGCCACGTTTTTTTTGATACATCACATGATGTGACATGGCCAGTCCGGAGGCAGCTTCGTTCGAACAAACCACTGCCTCTCCCCACCGGTCTGCCTGCGCCCGCCATGGGACGCCGGTCCTGCATTTTCAACGTCACGGAAATGGCCACCTCGGTGGAGAAAGGACGGTCCAACGGGACGAGCTGGCGCTCCACCGAGCTCGTGAGACATCTTCCGAACGAAAACACAGAGATGGCGACCGTTTGCACAAAGGAGGTAGCCAAGCTTGTCCAGTGAGGATCAAGCCGACTGGACATCTGAAACTCACATCCACATCTTACTACGCGACTTACACTTAAGGTAGAAAACAGGCCCTGTGTGTGAGGACGTTCTGACCAAATGTGACTCTCTGGTATAGTATACAGCTGATACTGCAGCTGATTCTTATTACAAATGTTTCCGATGACAACTCTGTGCATTCCATCAAAGTGTCAACTCCGCCATTGAACACAACCCACCGGTAGTGAAAAGTCTACGCCCAAAACCATGCTGAAACAACAAGGTCGGTCTTCAAAACCTCTTGTTGAAGGATTGTGTCTCACCTCACTGCACTCCTTGACTCCTTGAAGCAATGTACCAAGTCAGCGGGATTTTCGAAAAATCCATGTGCAGCGACCTCTATGACCAACCCGAAGCGTGTGACGCCTGTCATGATCTCTTTTGGAGAACCGTGCAATATAGATGATCCTCCTGATCATTCCAGACCTCGGACTCGGATACGAAGAGATGACCCAAAACTGAGCCCAGCCGCCCAGCCTTGCGAAACAAACAAAGCCACATCATTCGATGCCCAGCCCAAACATGGACATGCTTCAGGGATGTTATATGTGTCCCAAACGCCGGTTTCTTGAGTCACTGGCATTGTTGACATTCCACAAGGTCATGTAGTCATTCTGGTAGACCGATCCTTCCTGATCGCCAAAAAGAAGGGTCGGCCAAATGCCACGCGCGGGGATTGGGCGAGTGCGCTGGGTCTTCCGGCACTCACCCCGGCCAGCCCTTGACTCATGATTGATTTAGGTTGCAGCCCTTTCTCAAAGGTGGTGATCATCTTTTACTGACTTGCTGGTAATGGGACACACACCGGACACATCCTTCTTTCTGAAGCCCAAACAGCCACTCCCAAAAACGGTCCCCAATCCACTATGTGACTATGTACTCCTGCTGGTTGCCAAGCCCAGAACTCTGGCGGTGGGTGAAAGGAAAAGCCAGTGACTTCGGCCTTGAATGGGTTCCCTGGCCCACTGATCACCCGAAATCGGACTTCCAGCCACGAGCGCCCGAGCCGAGCGCTCAAACGTCCGTCAGGTCTGAGACCCGCCACGTCCGCACCACATCGACCAGCGCACCCATGACTGGTGGTGAGCTCCGCTTGGTCGCTCGCGCAGGTCGATGGACCCGGTGCGCCTTCAAGTAGGATCGGCCCTCGGCAGCGAAGTCGCCCTGAGACATGCGGAGCTCGGTCCTGTCCTGGTCCCCCCTCCCGAAAAGTCACAGGTTTTTTCAGATTGGCCCGGGCCCCTGAAGGAGGGATTTCCTCTACCAAACCTCCGGTTTTCAGGGTGGTGACGTTTCTCCGGAGTGTCACGAAGGCCACCCACGCTGGACCGGATCGAAACGCCGACATGTCGACCGCGTGAGGAAGCGTCGACTCTTCAAGCGAGGAAGCATCTTGCAAGGCCTTCGACGCTGGGCCTCCTAGCATCGATCTAGATTCCGAGGTTAAGTGACCGGGACCGTACTGTAGGACCCGAGCCACCAGGAGTACCCAACTAGGATAGTCGAACTAGGGTTCTTCAACCGCTAACCGCTGGTTGAAGAAACACCATGATACATGTCCCAGACACGACCCGGACCTGGGACTGCCGGACTGCCGAGAGAAGGCAAAGGGTGGTTGACTGGGGGTCTGTATTCCAGTCCCATGGAGTGTATGGGATTTGGATTGTAAGACCCCTCTTCATATGGGTGATGTTCAATCAAAAGTCTACAGACTTGAACTGGATCCATTCAAAACCTGCTGCATCCAGCAGAGGCTTCGGCCGTGAATGATGCCTCTGGTGGTTGACCTTCTGGTGTGCTGATGTCATGCTGACGTATGTGTTGGATTGCCGACATGACCAGGGTGGCTGATGAATATGTCAAAGCAAAACAGGATGCTTTGATGCTGGATAATGCTGGATAATGCCTTTTGATTATCTCCTACTCCTGCCAGCCTTTAGAAGGGAATGCGACATTTTACTGCTCCCATGCTTCCCAAGGATTCGTCCTCTCCACCCCTAGCTTCAGCGTGGCCTGCATGGTAGGTGTGTCTTGACCGGGCCAGCGGAATTGGAGAAGGGCCAAAATGACCTGAGACAGGCACCAGGAGACCAGTCATGGCACCAGAAAACCGACCGGTTGACCTACCACCAATCGACTGGTAGACCTACTCGTTCGTTGGTGGAGGCCCGTCTTCCTTCGAGGTCTTAGCATTCTTAGCCTTTTCTGGCAGGGCCCAGCCTTGGGATGGGGCCTTGGGACCTCCAAGGGGCAAGAGAATGACCATGGAAGATGACCTTCGACCAGCACGAACCAAGAGCTCCGTGCTGGGTGAGATGAAAGTTAGATCTAGACCCCCGCGTGGCCTTGCGTGGCCCATGTCTACCTGTGCCGATCTGACATGGTGTTTTTTCGGATGGCACCCTATGTGGGCACCCTTGACCAGCACCCGGCTCTACAGGTCTCCTCTGGTGGCTGAAATGGAGACTTGAAAGTGGCAGGTGGTGGCCTGGCAGTGAGGGTGCTGGTATACAAGGTGCGTGGATGGCCCAAACCATGGAGCGCCAGAGATCTTTTCGTGTGGACACCCTCAGAGCTCGCTCCGGAGCTTCGTGTACACGAAAACCCGAAAACCACAACGGACGGGCACTGGAAATCTGCCGCCCCATGGACAACTTGAACCACCACTGCAAATATGCCAGTGCCACCTTTCGTGTGGAGTCAATGGCGGTCCGTCCACCCCCAGACGGCGCTATCCAACCCCGTCCCAGATGGCTCGTGGATCGCAGGAATCGCTCGCCCAGTTGCCCTGAATCCTGGGGTCCCAACCGCCACGATGAGGAGCAACAAGCCCCAGCGCCGGCGTTTCACAGGGCTCACCTCGTGAGTGGCGCTTCTTTCGCTGGCGCCATTGCTGCCTTCCCTCCAAACTCCAAATTCCACCGCCGCGTTTGGGGAAGAACAAACCGCTGTTCCGGATTCCGGCGGGAAATAGAAGAACAAAACACGTCCGCGGTCCGTCACGTCCGCCTGCGAGATGGCCGGCACGTCGGCGAAGTCCGAAAAGCTCATCGCCTTCAAAATGCCTCTGGGGACGCGTCAGCGCATCGCGAACGCATGTTCGGCGGGGTCCACTGACCACTCTTTGTGGGTCCTGAGGTTCTTTGGTTTGGAATTTGATTGGGTGGCTTAAACACACCCCTTTTTCCGAGCTTTCACCGTGTTTACAACCATCCTGACAGGGTGACAAACTGGAAGCAAGAACTGGAAGTACAAGTACGTGTGACGAAGCTGGAAGTAACCAACAAAAAGTAAAGAAAAAAAGGATGGTGCCAGTACCAGTTATACAGTTATACATAGTATACATGGATGCCAATGCTTTATCCATCTATACTTCCCGGGAGTACTTACGTCCGTGCCTTCGCCCATGCGCTCCTCGTCGGAGTCGAGCCAGTCCATCTGCGCAGGCACACTGCGGCACCTGCGGCGTGGGTCGACTTGGGGAGTGACGTGGGTCTGCTCTGAGGCTCGTCCGGACTCGTGTCACTGAATTAGATGGTTCACTACCAGCACCCGACTTCACAGCTCTCCTCTGGTGGCTGAAATGGAGACTTAAAAGTCGCAGGTGGTGACCTGTTGGAGGGTGCTGGTAGATGTTCAAAGCGTTGGTGACATCCCTAACCTGAAGAACCAGACTCCCAGACACGACCTGTTTGGGACTGCCATAGGACTGCCGCCCCATTGACCCCTCAAACCACCCCAACGTAGGCATATATGGCAGTCCCATGGTGTGTCTGGGTATACGATATAGAAACTGCATATACTGTAATTATATATAGATGACTTCTGCATCTGGTCAAGGGAGTCTTGGTTTTTGCCGCAGCAAGTGAGGTTTACGGGCGTTTACGGTTGACCAAAACGGAACTTGGCATGGCAAACCAACTGTCACCGCCCATGTTCGCCATGTTTGCGAGTTGAAGGAGAAGCCATCCAAGTTGATCCAGTTCACCCGATACGGACGTTGTTCCTCCACATCGCGGGGACTGACCTGCTCTCTGCCAAGCTGGTGCCACAGGTGGACCCCACCAAAAAAGAAATAAGAACCACACATGAACAATAACAATATGTTCTAAACCTCCAGTAGCCGAACTTGGAGGAAGTCGGGGTGCCCCTGTCACATCCACTCACTGGATGTGACTAAACAACACCCCTTTGTGACTCCTGGCTGGAACCCTATTATTATGCAGTGCTGTATGTTTTAGCTCAAACATGTCTATACTGTATACGATAGATCGTGGGTGGTCTGAGATGCTCTTCCCTGGACTCGTGGCTGGCTTTCACCACCTTCCGCACATGTTGAAAACACCTCGAGCCTTTCACACGCGCTTGAAAAGAGATATGGACATAATGTCATAATCCCTAGGGCTCCAACCACCTCCTGAGAAGGTGGTTGGGGTGGGTTTTTGGGGTCTAACCACCTTCTGAGGATATGGTTGGAGCGCTAGGGAATGTATGGACACGTCCACCACTGATGCTCCATGACACCAGAATCGACCGACTTACTAGACCACAGCAAACCGAGCAGTTCGGTCGAAAAACCGCTCGGTCGGATCACCGAGGCAGTTCCAAAACGCATGGCCGGCGCCCGGTGACAAGCTGGTCAGCACTGGACAGCAGAGCCTCTGCTCTCCCTTTAGCTGAGCGCTGTGTGCCTTATCATCTCAACTTCCGTCAAAGAGGGTCAGAACAGTGGCAGGGTCGCCTCATAGAGAGTCCAGGAAGCATGTAATTTGGTCTTGACCAAAACAACCATGGGTTTACTGAGGATTTGCCTTCCAAAACCGGGTCAACCATTTCAAAACTGGTCTTGGAAGGCCAACGCTTCATTCTGCGGCCAAGGTCCCCCTCCCGTGTGACAACACACGGTGCACCGCGTGGACTGCAAGGCGCAGTACATCTTCTGCCGCATCTGACGAAACGAACGGGCGGATGCAAAGCAGCAAGCATCACCAAAGGAAACCAATAGAAGGTCATGGGCCGCTGAAAATGACAAAGCCATTAATTAACTGGTTTCCTTGATTTATAAGAACTCGACATCTTCTTATCCCCAAGAAAACCTCTCTGCTTTCTCTCAACAGGGCTGCTTGGTCTGGCTCAGCACGGAGCGGCTCTGCAGAGCTCCGCACGGAGCTTCTGAAGTCTGGGACCCGGTCATTCCACCGACCCAGGTGGTTTTGAGTCGGACGTGACATGGATCGGGGCAGCGTCACGACGATCCGAAATCGGAACCGGCACCCGACTCCTTGGAACTACTCGGATAGGCTCGTGATTCACGCTGCAATTGGAGGATTCAATTGGTAGCAGGTACCACAAGGACCACTCTGGTATGTGTATTTAGTTTGTCCGGCAAGGCAAGAAACACCTGCAGCGTCGGAAGAGTCTAGTCAGACTTGTTCCAAAAATAGCATTCTGTGTTTGAGCCGTTGGAGGTATATGACAATTCTCAGCAATGGCCTTGCGTAAACCGACCAACCCACCATGCTGAGAACTCTCCACATTGGCAGCATGGTTGGTGCACCACGCTTCCCCAACACACGCCGCTCCACTGCGTCGAGCCTTTACTGGCAGAAGATCTCCCCAAAAACGCCCGGGCACGCGCCCCAGAGCCAGCAAGGCTTTGTTTGACGCAGATCCGGAGGATTCAACACCTATCGGTTCTTGTTCTTCTTCCTCCGTCTTCTCCTCTTCCTTCTTCCCCTTGTTGTTCTTCTTATTCTTCTTCTGCTGCTTGTTCCTCTCCGTGTTCTTTATCTTTGTTATCTTCATGTTTCTTTGGAATTGCAAAAGTATGCATGTTCACTCAAGAACAATAGGAGTGGCTTGCCTGCAGGGAAATTCTCAATTCTCCAGTACGTGGTTCCTTTTTCCAGGTGTTTGCATGTGAACCCCAACCAAACAGAGAGGATGATTCTTTTGCCACTTTTCTGTGTGGAAGGACACCAACAAATTCCTGAGAGATCTGTACCAGTATCACCAAGTGAATACAAACGTCCTTGGAAGATAGAGAGTCTAAGGACATCGTGAAGCGAAAAAGACATGCACATGAATTCCTTGGACAGAATGTCAGATTCGCTGGAATACGTTTACTATGATGTCAATGGATGCAGCGAACGACCCGATGGGTCATGATCCTAAACTGGCGAACGACCGTCTTGACCGTCACTGCAGTTCCCATCGTCCCATACCTCTTCCAGGCCACTTTTTCCTCTCGCCAGTCGTCAGTCGAGTCAGTCGGATACGAAGGGCACCAGTCGAGCATCAAGCTTTGGATAGGAGACATGGTCTCCACTGGCGGATGCCCCAAATGGAACCTCGCAACTCGACCTTCGAAGAATCGAAAACTGTATTTATATACAATCCAGTAGTTCCAAAGGGGTGCCGAACAACTGGAGGAAGTCGGGGTGCCCCTGTCACATCCACGCACTTAGAGACTAGAAACCCCCTTTGTGACTCCTGGATTGTATGAATGTATTGATATGTATATAGATCTATAAATCACATCTATACTTGGGCACCAAGAAACAAGGGCGTCAGACAAAAGAAGAACCGCGGGCGTCATTCCCGACTGCAACGCTGTGCCTCAGCGGACTAAAGCAAGAGGTTGGAGATTCAGTAAAGTACAGTGCGGACTTCCAGCTTCTTCAGTTCGTGCCCTTTTGGGAGTCCCATCCTTTTACATCCGTTTACGGGTCGTTTTTCGTGACCTCAAAGCAGGATATTAAGCTCGGGTCACTTGGAAGAACCTCAGATGTTACTTGAATTCCTCAAAAAAATGTGCATGCCTCAAGGCTCCAAGTGCCCCATTTCAAGCCGTCACTTGGGATCGATGAATGGTCGTCACTTTGAAGAAACGGAACAATGGAACGACAGTTCGTGGAATTTCTGATTGGATTCCAAGGGATTGGAAGTGTCACCATGGTCTAGTGGTCTGCCTGATGGTATACAAGCATCTGCAACCAGAAACCATGTTGGATCGCTGTCCCCAAATGAAAACCTCTTTATCTTGGACAATTGGTGTCACACCTCAAAGGGGAGTCCCTATCACGACATCGGCCAGGGATCGGGATCGCTGCCATCCGTACTTCGGGAAGTCCGTCTTCCAAGACGGGAACCCCGTGCTTTGTGGCGTACACCGTGCAGAACTCCTTCCAAAACGGCGAACACGTCGAAAGGAGACACCGAATCCTTGACGTGGCGAGCCCGAAAAAAGGCACATGGCGACCGCATGGTTACGCATGAAATTCCTGAGGATCCATCTCACTGAGCCTCCCACAGCTTCAAGGGATACTCACCTGGCGCGGTAGCCTCCATGGCAACAGAAGACCCCGTTCCAAGGGTCCAAGGCGTAGTAGCTACAGTATCAGACACCGCGTAGCTGGTGGTCTTTTCCCCAATTTCATGGCCAAATCACCAAAAACTTGCAAATACCAAGACTCTTGACACTGCAAAGCTCCCAAATACAAACCACTGTTGATCCCAAAAACTGGCAAAGCTCCCAAGACTCCCAGAGTCCTGGCTCCCAGGTCCCAAGTCTTGGACACACCACTGTTGAGGCAAAAACGGAGACCAAACGAAGACCAGCTGTCTGACGCCTTCCGCCCATCCGAAAAAGAACCACGGTCAACGGCTTCAACGGGGGTCGGTGGGCCCTTCAGGTCGTCCATCAGCGTGGACTCATCGATGTCGAGGGAGAAGCCGACGCACGCCGTCGGCGGAAGCCGAGGCAGGCAGGTTCGACATCTGTTTTTTCCTGGATTCGGAACCCTGCTCGTTCTGAAGGTTCAAAACGGTTTAATGTCAATGTATTCCGAGCCTTTGCTGTCTATAGTATAAGTACTGTACTATGTCTTTGGAGTTGTCGTAAGCAGTGGTCCCACTTGGCTCCTTCTCCAGAGGCACCTACCCTCCACAGGCAGGTGGCCTTGCGGACCTTGATCTTGCTACGCTCCTGCTGTAGCAGCGAGGTGGCCGCCGAGTCGGCGCCCTGAGCGGTGAAGGGGTGAGGGTGGAGAGGCGTGAGTGGCGTGCCCCAACAGATGATTCATGTTGAATCCGGAGTAAACGAATCCGCTATGATCCTGAGGCTTCATTTTTGAAAAAATATTTCTGACTGTCCAAATGTGCTTTAAGGGTCCTCTATGATGCAATGTCTGTTTGAAATCCGAAGTGTGTTCTTTTCTGGATCATATTCAGGGGTTTCCAAGTAATCCTTCAGAGCCCTGTGAATAGTTACTAAGCCCATGAAACTGGCTTGCTGGGAGCGTTGGCCATAGATCGGTTTCTCAAGTCCTTCTTTAAAAACAGAGGACCTGAGAACCTTCTTCGTACTCTGACTCTTCTTAGTAGTATTGAAGAATTGCTGAGAATATCAGAATATCTACAAAGAACCTGCGAAAGGAAAATGAATAACTATAATCTATGACTTGACAAGATGACAAGAATGGAAGATGAATACTACAATATACTACAGTCAGTACAAAAGGAATCCTCCCAGGAACCCAGATTTGTTTTGGTGGCAGTTTATTATAGAGGACCTCCCATTTGTTTAAGGGGAATCTCATTTGCTAATCAGGATCCAACATTAGTATATATATGCATGTATGTTATATATATATATAAGAAGTTATAAGATAGGGCATTGATCTGCTAGAATTCTGCCATGATGGTCAAGTTGATCAAAGAGCATAGAAATGAAAAGAAGATACGAAAATGATTTCTACTACAGTAGGTGACTTAGGAGTGGTCATTTCTTGACGTTCGTCCAATCCAACAAAAGCCACACGAGTCGGATCAGCCATCCGTCGGGTGCGCGAGTCGCCGACCGATCGAGTTCGGTGAAGCAAAAAGCACCGCCACGGCGGGCGAGTGAGTTCGCACGCAGTGACAGGTTCTGACCCCGTCGTTTGACAGGATTTGGGGGTGAGAGAGAGAGAGAGCGTCGAGAGTCTAGAGTGTCATGAGCCATATTTAGGTGGTAACTCTAAGGCCACAGTTCAAAAGGATTCCCCAAACAAAACACAATTTCCCAAACAGTGTGGACACACTTAGGGGTTCTTACGGTAAGGGTTAAGCAGCTGTGCTTAGATCGCTGTGCCGCGCGGGCGTGTTGGCCATTTATACAGTACATTCATGCCTCTAGAAATCCTCGAAGTGCATTTCGACTGCACAGGCTCGCGAAATCTGGGGGCCCGCGGCGGATGTTTCTAGCGAGCGCACTTTCGCACATGGTGGTGACATTTCGTGGCAGGCGCACGGGAAACCTCGTGTTAATTTTGGTGGTCCAAAGTCAACTTTTCGTGACAAGCGCAAGGGATCGGAGCGGCTTTGCTTCGAAGTGCAGATTTCGTGGCAGGTGCGGCACTGCAGTGCCGCACCTGCCACGAAATCTGAACATCGAGATTCACAAAGTGCTTCTGCACATCGAGGTTGACAAAGTGCTGTGCCTGCCACAAAATCTGCACATCAAGGTTGACAAAGTGCTGTGCCTGCCATGAAATCTGCACTTCGAAGCAAAACCGCTCCGATCCCTTGCACCTGTCACGAAAAGTCGAGTTTGGCACACTGTTTGGGGAAAAAAAGTGTGTGTTTTCAATGTTTTTTTTTCCACGCAAATCGGGAGAGAATTCCTCACTGCCACTGATTGCTGGCAAAGGCCGTCATGTTTTTGGGCTCGGCAGCGAAATCGAGGACGAAGATGATACGGGATGTCTCCTGCAATCAGCTTCAGACTCAGTAAGTTGACAGAAGAGATGCTGATGCTGCTAAACATCTGCGCCCTGCCAGTGGCCAAAGTAGGCGACCAAAGATTTGCGCTGTGAAACGCAGCGATCTTGCACGGTCAACAAAGTTGGTAGGAGGTCACCTCGGAAAAGGGCATGTGAACATTTCGATCATCGCTGTCAGCTTGAGTGTTTTCAAGGGGCAGAATGCCCGTCATCCTCCGGCAGGCACAGATGAGTCGGTTGGGATGTTGGACATGTTGATCACGTCTGGGCCGCTGCCAATGAAGGAGAATCAATCCATGGTGGGCCCGGAAACCGCGCGGAACCGCCTTTCTGCCCGTTCGGGTCCGGGAATGGGCGAAGGACGTTCGAAGGTGCCAAAAACCGGAGCTATGTACAATCAGACCTTCGGTTGGCCAGGGCGTTTAGATATTTTGAAGATGTTTGCATCAGAAACCATCCATCCCCGTCCCCCCCAAACCCATGAAACTCCATGAAACACCCAGAATCTGGTCGCACCAACGGTCTGGTCGTGTTCCAAAACCGACCGGTCTGCACCAACGTCTCGGCCTCGTCGATGGAGGCTTCGCTGGCGGCGGCGCGGCCGGAGGAGCCGCATTCGTCGGCCTCCGGTTCATCCCAAACAGGTTCGGAGGTACCTACAGAGGTTAAGTGACCTCTACAGGAGTACCTATAGGATAGTCTATAGGGTTCTTCAACCTCTGCTGGGCCCCTGGAAGTCCAGTCGTGACTCCTTTTACCCCATAAGACGTGGAAAAAATGTCGGGGTAAAATGAGTCATTGGAAGCTCTGGGAGCTATAACCCCCCCACTTAGATAGAATGATAGAACAGTAGATCCCCACTAAGAATGTTTTCGAAAGCGCGTCACTATCTATTTGGGGACGGGATTCCTGGCCTCACCATGCATGGAAAAGGGTCAAAGAAACCCTAGCCACCCTTGTTTTAGCTCAAGGGATTTTGGACTACAAAAACCAGGTCCCACCGTATCCCACCATCTTTTTTAGATCCTGAAAGGCCTGAGGAAGGTTTGGAGGGGGTGAGGTTCGGGTTGCAAAGGTCTGCAGTATATATAGAGAGGGTCAGAGACAGAGAGACGGAGAGTAGGGCTCCAGATCTGGCCATTTGATGTTGAGAGTTCACTTGCAGAGCCGCTAGTCCAGAACCGGTGCTTTTTCAGATCGCAAGATCTGCTCCCCAAAACTTCCAGATCTGGGACACCTGCTCGAACTTCGCTCCGAGGTGGCTCCAAATCCGCTGGTGAAAGCCAGTTTTCCGGCCGCTCGCCTTGCGGAACGAGCCTCGCCCCGTCTGGAAGAGGGAGATGGCGGCCATGCTGTCCTGCTCCGTGGCAGGAAAGATCCCGAACTTCATCTGCAGAAGAAACGGTGCCAACAGACCAGTCGTTGGTAAGTGGTCATCCTGGATTTCTATATATAGTCACTATGCGAGTCAGACAACAGCTTTAGAAACCTGAACTCCAAAGTACAAAGAAGTAATGTAGCTGTAGAATCACCCGGGGTAGGCTTGGTCATTGCATCATCATCTGAGTCTAGTGGCAAGTGCTGAAGCTGGAATCCTTCCCTGCCAATCTCTTTACAAGGTACTTGAAGAGGAGTAGCAAAAAAACTTGTTGGTGAATTTTCAATAGTCAAACACGTATATTGTTTTCTTGTGGTGACAATGGTTTCTGACGGGGATGGGGGAAGTTTGGCAGAATGTACAAAGCCGTTGCCCCCCACGGTCTAATTACCGCACAACTTCCAAGTGGCTGTCCCTGGCTGCAACAAACAAAACCATTGTCTCATTTGCCTTCGCTGCATTTTTGTCAGCTTATGCCTCGAGCCACAATCCCACAACTGCCAAGTGGCCGCTTCGAGCTGCAAGGAACAAAGCCGTTACCCGTTACCCTATCTGTCCTTGATAAATGCTTGTCAACTCTAGCATCAAGAATCGCACAGGTTCCAAATGACTGTGGCCCTTCTCGGCTGCAATAAGCAAAGGCTTTACTGCATTTCTCTGTCATGATCTTTGTCAACTCCAGCATCGAGCAACAATCGCGCAATTTCCAAGTGGCCCTTGTGGGCAGCAGCAAGCAAAGCTGTTGTC